GTCTGACGGAGATACCCAGTGATGAACCGTTATGTGGAATCTTTAATTTTCTGGCAAGCAGCAGTTCTTTGTGCTCTCAGGTTGCTATCAGGTTACAAGGTAGTGGATTAGGTTTTCTGCCTGTTACGTATGAGGTTATGATGAGGGGCTTACGCTTGTTTCTTGACCAATTGCAGGGATTTATGGCAGGGCTATCCCCTTTCACCCTGACCAGTCTTAAGTTTCGTTTCTTGTTTGTGACATGGGCATAAATTATATACAGCTCTCCGCCAGGATTTTGTTTCAGGAGTTTCTGGCAAGAATTTTTTTTTTTTTAACCCTTGGTTGACTACTTGAATGGTATCTCTTGCTAGTGGCATGGGGACTGATTAACTGGGTTGTGACAAATAAAACTGCATTCATTCCTACTTGATTATTGTGAAAAATAGACATGGCTGTGAAAACCATTGCTTTTGTTCCTTTGCTGGTTCTGGCCTCTAAGGTAGAATACATGGAAGGGGAACCAGTAACGGTATTGTTGCTACTAATGATTAAACTTCTTATTGACAGGTGTATTACCAAGAAGTTCATTCTGAGCATCTGGCACCCATGACCCAGTGTTTGGCATTATTTTGTAAACTCAGAATTTGCCTTTTTTTAGGCAACCTCCCTCTTAAAAGGAATAATTAAGGCTGTGCAAAGCTTCGGTCACCAATTCAGTTCAGAGGAAATTTGGCCCTATTCGGCGGCTGAATCTCCGAATCCAAATCGAATTGGGAGATCCATTAAAAGGTCCAAAGCGAATCTGAAACCTCTGAATTGATTCGGAGAGATTCAGATCAGCTGGGGAGAGGCAGGCACAGCCGGGTGGCTGCAGGTTCTCCCGTGGCTCCCCAGGCTGTGCCTGCCTCTCCCCTGGTGGGGGGAGCCATGGGAGAAGCCCCCATGGCTGTCCTGCCTGGCTCTATCCACTGCCCAGCCCAGCCTCCCAGCACTTAAAAAAAAAAAAAAAAAAAAAAAAAAAACACCCCAACCCACACCCCCTGTGCTGTCTGGGAGCTGGGGGGGCTCCACCTGTGAGCCAGAGCTTGGCACCACTCATCCCCAGTGTCCCCAGCTCCCAGACAGTACACAGTGCCCTGCTGAGCCTCTCTGCACCTGTGCAATGCGATAGTGGTGATGCGTGTGCCAAGCAGGGGGGAGTGATCCCTGCTGCCTCCCACTGCCCTGTGCTATGAGGGATGGCTCTGCCACGAGCTGTCGGAGGCCCTAATCGCTGCTGCTACAGTGGTGTGCGTGGGGCTTTTCTTGAAGTGACCAGGGTGAGGCAGGCACAGCTGGAGGAGCCATGTAGCCACCCATTTATGCCTGCCTCTCCCTGGCTGATCTGGATCTCCGAATCAGCACTGAATCTCTGATTCTGATTCAGCCATATTGAATGGGGTCAGTAATTTGAATCACCGAATCAAATCGCTGTCCTCTGAATCTGCCAAATACAAATTGAATACTTCCCTATTTGCACAGGCCTAGGAATCAGTGCTATGAATTCGTTTTGAATTTTGGATTTCAAATGTTGTAGAATCAAATTTCAAAAAGGGACCTTAAGAACTTGATTTTCCATTATTTTTGTATATTACATAAACTAACAAAGTGATGTTGGGATTTCGAGGCATTATTTTATTTAGTTGCGTTTCTTCACTTCAGCAGACTGGGCTTTGCAATACTCAGATGCTACCAGATTATTTCAGTATGATGCTTTTAATAGTTTTTATTTCAAAATAATTTTTCTGTGCTGAAGAACTTGTGATCTGAATATATAAATTCTTTTTGGATGCGACTAAGAAAAATGAATGGGTGAATGCGAGTTGGTAGGCATCTCTTTGGATACAGTAAAAGCTTGTTTTTGTGATTCAGAGTTGTATTGTTGCAGAATCTGCTAACTAATTGTACCTATCAGTGAGGGAATCTGATTAAGCAGATTTATTTAACTTTCTACTCACTGTAGTGTTGATGTCAGATATTTAATATTAAGATTTTTTGTGACTTTGTAAGTCAAGCTGTAGTATGCTAAGGCTGCTTAATGCAACAGTGACCAAAATTATTCTTGGAAGTAATATAACTCAGTAAACATTTAAGATATGGAATTAGCTCATTGTTTAAACTGAATGGCTTTTGGCTTGGTTAGCTGATTTTATAAACCTAATTTTGTAATGAAGCCACAAATTTATCTACCATTTGAAAATGGATCCTGAGCAAGTTGGTGAAACTGAATGTCTTGTATTTACTGCTAAAACTCAGAAACCGAGATGCCACAACTTATTTTTGAGGTGTGGTATGTTATCCCACTTCTTGATTTTGTATGTTAAATGTGTATTTCAAAGCACACCATATTTTCTGTTGTAAGGTGGTAGATGCCATTTTTGAACAGTGCATATCATTCTTTTCTATTTCTTTTTTGTGGTAATATGAGGCATGCATTGTGCATCTTGATTTATTGTTTCCTTCCTGTACATGGAATCCAAAGGGATACCAGTAATTAAGGTTCTTTGAGTATTTTCCTTTTTTACAGAAACATTTTATTTTCTATATACTAGTCCAGATGCTTAGATACAGGTCTTCTCGGTCAGCAAGCAGAGTAAAACTGTTTGTGGATTACATTATCCTTCTCCAAGGCATATGGGATTCACTGGCCCCCAGGATTCCAGCGTTTGCCTCCAGTATGTATAGCCAAGTGAAGAGAAAAGTTTCAGTCAAGGGGAAATTGGAATAAGTTGGGCGATCTGTGATGATTTCTAGTAAGCATCTCCTGAAGGATAACTGACATGCAGGTTTGTGCTGTCAAGTACAGGATACCAGGTTTAGCTCAGGGCTTTCTCAGGTTGGTTTGTTGCTTGTTTTTTTAGATTTTCACATAGCCAACTATTGTTCAGGCTGAACAGGTAAAGAAAGAGCAGTTCCCAGAAACCAAATCTACGGCTTCCCCAGGCACAGCCATGGAAGTAATCTTACGAGCCATTATGATGTTAGTCCCACATGTGACAGATTATTCCAGGCTAGCTGTCAATTCCCCCTGAAACCCTGGCACAGTCCTAAAAACTTTTAAACGAGTAAAAGCCACTGAAATTTGTTTTTCAAGATCTGATATTTTCCTGTTCACATAGCATTAAGTTCTTATTGTGCACTGACACATGCAAAATTGCAGTCGCTTACAAATAGCATCTCTCTGAAATGGAAGTTATTGCCTGGCAGGCTCAGAGAAGGTGACTCATTCAAGAGGTGTTGCAACAGACTCCAGGGTATGCAAATTATTTTTTCCATTAAATACCAGGTCCTAATCTGTACCTTGAAGACATTCAGATGCCACATTGATGAAGTCTTATAAGCACCCAGACAGTGTGTGAAATGGTTCACTTAAACTTAAAGTAAGACCCTGGCCCTGTTACAATGCCAGTGACAGATCAGGAATCGAATTCCAGGCATACAGTGCAACCACTCAAATCTAAGGAAGGCAGCAGAAACTGCTCTGTTCTGGCTGTGATTCATATAACAGGAAACAGTGGTCTGGGCTGGAAGGGCAGGATGCAGATAAGGTCAGAAGAACAGGAAAACTTCCAATGAGTTTCTAGATCTGTAGATACTGAAGGAATAACACGTGTTTAGTTTCTTTTTCCCATAAGAGAAAGGATGCACTACTGAATGAAATATCTGGGTCCAGAATACTGACTTGAAGAAAATTTTATTTCAGTGTCTGATTTCTGTTTGCAAAAACTTGTTTCTTACATACAGCACAGGGGAGCAAAACCAGATGCTTCCCTGCCTGTAATTCTAGATATCCTGCAGTTCCTGCAACCAAAACTGGATTGTATTGGGATATCATTTCTGTAAAAAGCCTGTTCTGAAGCTATTTACAGCATTATAGAGCCTGGAGGACTACTTTACTTTTCTGTGGATGGCACCTGGATGGGATCAAAGCTGTTAGCAATCTTGAGGGCAGGGAAATGGTGCTGTTAAGCTTTTCTTTTATCCCTTAAACTTGGCCCATACTATTCAATCAAACTTAAATTTATTCTTAAATTTACTGTACCTTCACTGTCTTGATTTTTGTAGCTACTTCAGCTTGCTTCATGGAGCTGAATGCCTCGTTCTGTAATATGCAGGGACTGTCAGTTCGTCATTGCAAAACCTCTCATCTGTGTGACCCTACCTGAATTTAAACCGAAGGCAGTTTCAGCCCTTCATTTAACAAGGAGAGCGAGCCTTGTTTACGTCTGTCCTGATCCACAGAGATCCAACAGGGATTTGAAATCACTTGACTAACTGTTGAGACTGCTTTGAATTTATCTTAGCCAGCAATTGAGTTCAGAGATTGAGAGGTTATTTATTTATCTTGCATGAAGGGATTTACTGTAGGTAAGGTCAGAAAGCCTCCAAACAAAACAATTCAGAATGGATTAGGGAGCTGACTAAAAAGGGAATTTGTAATAAAATCCAAGATGAAAGGTATCCTACCTATCCAAAGGTAATTTGACCACATGGATGATAAATATTTGTGGCAATCAAAAACAGAGAGATTCTTTTCACATGGTGTTTATCCTGGATTAAAAATTTAACATGTAATTTGTTCTGCTTAGTCTGGCCCATCTCTTCATTCCATCCAATCTCCATGACTTTTTATGCTTTAGTGTCAAAGAAAGGTGTTTATTTCCTGTGAAGTAATTGAAATGTGCAAAAAAAATTGCACAGTGGAGAAAAGCAGGTGCTGATGCAAATTCAAAAAGCAAAAGACAGCCATTAAAAATGTACTGAACAGGCAAAATCAGAATAGCGTGGCTGTTTCTGGGCAGCATATTTTTGCATTCTTAAATGAAAAAATATTGATCTTCAATAATTTTTAATGGCTATAGAAAAAGTAACTACAATACAGTTCCCTTTTTCATTATGATACAGTTACTCTTTTCACTGAGTTTTGTCACAGAAGGGAGGTGTTTAGCTTTTAATTGTATACTCTCTTTATATTACAGGTTAACTAAACTCCAGATATTGGAACTTAGAGAAAACCAGTTGAAAATATTGCCAAAGTAAGTACGAATGAAACCTTTAAGGTATATACATACTTGGGTTTCCATTTCACTAATCTCTTAGGCTGCTTGCAGATGTTTAAAAAAAAAAAAAAGTGCTTCACTGGAAGCAGCAGTGCATTACTTCAACTCAGTTCTGCAGCATGTGTAAAGATCAGGTGCTTCAGTGGGGCTTTTTGGCACTTTTAGCTGGAGCTGATTCAATCAGCTATTAAATAAGTGTCAAAAAAGCCCCACTAAAGTGCCTGATCTTTACAGAAGTTGGACAAGCTGTGTTGAAGCAACGCATTGTCTCTTTTGGGCATGTGTGGGGCTCAGTACAGGCACACCAAGTTTTTTAAAAAGTGCCATTTTGCGGTTTGTTTTTTAACATCTGCATTTTAACATCTTAATGACTATTAAAAAGAGAATTGAGCCTCATGTGACCCAAGGTACACCACAACCCCAAATTGTCCACACTCACCAGCTCTAGCAGCAGCAATCAGGGCCTCTGAGGGCTCGTGGCAGAGCCCCCCCGTACAGTGTGGGGCAGTGAGGATTGCTTCCCCCCAGCTTGGCACCCACATGGCAGCTGTTGCATTGCGTGGGTTCAGTAAGGCGTGGCAGTGCCGTGTGCTGTCTGGGAGCTGGGGTGGCTCCACCTGTGAGCCAGAGCTTGGCACCACTCATCCCCAGTGTCCCCAGCTCCCAGACAGTACACAGTGCCCTGCTGAGCCTCTCTGCACCTGTGCAATGCGATAGTGGTGATGCGTGTGCCAAGCAGGGGGGAGTGATCCCTGCTGCCTCCCACTGCCCTGTGCTATGAGGGATGGCTCTGCCACGAGCTGTCGGAGGCCCTAATCGCTGCTGCTACAGTGGTGTGCGTGGGGCTTTTCTTGAAGTGACCAGGGTGAGGCAGGCACAGCTGGAGGAGCCATGTAGCCACCCATTTATGCCTGCCTCTCCCTGGCTGATCTGGATCTCCGAATCAGCACTGAATCTCTGATTCTGATTCAGCCATATTGAATGGGGTCAGTAATTTGAATCACCGAATCAAATCGCTGTCCTCTGAATCTGCCAAATACAAATTGAATACTTCCCTATTTGCACAGGCCTAGGAATCAGTGCTATGAATTCGTTTTGAATTTTGGATTTCAAATGTTGTAGAATCAAATTTCAAAAAGGGACCTTAAGAACTTGATTTTCCATTATTTTTGTATATTACATAAACTAACAAAGTGATGTTGGGATTTCGAGGCATTATTTTATTTAGTTGCGTTTCTTCACTTCAGCAGACTGGGCTTTGCAATACTCAGATGCTACCAGATTATTTCAGTATGATGCTTTTAATAGTTTTTATTTCAAAATAATTTTTCTGTGCTGAAGAACTTGTGATCTGAATATATAAATTCTTTTTGGATGCGACTAAGAAAAATGAATGGGTGAATGCGAGTTGGTAGGCATCTCTTTGGATACAGTAAAAGCTTGTTTTTGTGATTCAGAGTTGTATTGTTGCAGAATCTGCTAACTAATTGTACCTATCAGTGAGGGAATCTGATTAAGCAGATTTATTTAACTTTCTACTCACTGTAGTGTTGATGTCAGATATTTAATATTAAGATTTTTTGTGACTTTGTAAGTCAAGCTGTAGTATGCTAAGGCTGCTTAATGCAACAGTGACCAAAATTATTCTTGGAAGTAATATAACTCAGTAAACATTTAAGATATGGAATTAGCTCATTGTTTAAACTGAATGGCTTTTGGCTTGGTTAGCTGATTTTATAAACCTAATTTTGTAATGAAGCCACAAATTTATCTACCATTTGAAAATGGATCCTGAGCAAGTTGGTGAAACTGAATGTCTTGTATTTACTGCTAAAACTCAGAAACCGAGATGCCACAACTTATTTTTGAGGTGTGGTATGTTATCCCACTTCTTGATTTTGTATGTTAAATGTGTATTTCAAAGCACACCATATTTTCTGTTGTAAGGTGGTAGATGCCATTTTTGAACAGTGCATATCATTCTTTTCTATTTCTTTTTTGTGGTAATATGAGGCATGCATTGTGCATCTTGATTTATTGTTTCCTTCCTGTACATGGAATCCAAAGGGATACCAGTAATTAAGGTTCTTTGAGTATTTTCCTTTTTTACAGAAACATTTTATTTTCTATATACTAGTCCAGATGCTTAGATACAGGTCTTCTCGGTCAGCAAGCAGAGTAAAACTGTTTGTGGATTACATTATCCTTCTCCAAGGCATATGGGATTCACTGGCCCCCAGGATTCCAGCGTTTGCCTCCAGTATGTATAGCCAAGTGAAGAGAAAAGTTTCAGTCAAGGGGAAATTGGAATAAGTTGGGCGATCTGTGATGATTTCTAGTAAGCATCTCCTGAAGGATAACTGACATGCAGGTTTGTGCTGTCAAGTACAGGATACCAGGTTTAGCTCAGGGCTTTCTCAGGTTGGTTTGTTGCTTGTTTTTTTAGATTTTCACATAGCCAACTATTGTTCAGGCTGAACAGGTAAAGAAAGAGCAGTTCCCAGAAACCAAATCTACGGCTTCCCCAGGCACAGCCATGGAAGTAATCTTACGAGCCATTATGATGTTAGTCCCACATGTGACAGATTATTCCAGGCTAGCTGTCAATTCCCCCTGAAACCCTGGCACAGTCCTAAAAACTTTTAAACGAGTAAAAGCCACTGAAATTTGTTTTTCAAGATCTGATATTTTCCTGTTCACATAGCATTAAGTTCTTATTGTGCACTGACACATGCAAAATTGCAGTCGCTTACAAATAGCATCTCTCTGAAATGGAAGTTATTGCCTGGCAGGCTCAGAGAAGGTGACTCATTCAAGAGGTGTTGCAACAGACTCCAGGGTATGCAAATTATTTTTTCCATTAAATACCAGGTCCTAATCTGTACCTTGAAGACATTCAGATGCCACATTGATGAAGTCTTATAAGCACCCAGACAGTGTGTGAAATGGTTCACTTAAACTTAAAGTAAGACCCTGGCCCTGTTACAATGCCAGTGACAGATCAGGAATCGAATTCCAGGCATACAGTGCAACCACTCAAATCTAAGGAAGGCAGCAGAAACTGCTCTGTTCTGGCTGTGATTCATATAACAGGAAACAGTGGTCTGGGCTGGAAGGGCAGGATGCAGATAAGGTCAGAAGAACAGGAAAACTTCCAATGAGTTTCTAGATCTGTAGATACTGAAGGAATAACACGTGTTTAGTTTCTTTTTCCCATAAGAGAAAGGATGCACTACTGAATGAAATATCTGGGTCCAGAATACTGACTTGAAGAAAATTTTATTTCAGTGTCTGATTTCTGTTTGCAAAAACTTGTTTCTTACATACAGCACAGGGGAGCAAAACCAGATGCTTCCCTGCCTGTAATTCTAGATATCCTGCAGTTCCTGCAACCAAAACTGGATTGTATTGGGATATCATTTCTGTAAAAAGCCTGTTCTGAAGCTATTTACAGCATTATAGAGCCTGGAGGACTACTTTACTTTTCTGTGGATGGCACCTGGATGGGATCAAAGCTGTTAGCAATCTTGAGGGCAGGGAAATGGTGCTGTTAAGCTTTTCTTTTATCCCTTAAACTTGGCCCATACTATTCAATCAAACTTAAATTTATTCTTAAATTTACTGTACCTTCACTGTCTTGATTTTTGTAGCTACTTCAGCTTGCTTCATGGAGCTGAATGCCTCGTTCTGTAATATGCAGGGACTGTCAGTTCGTCATTGCAAAACCTCTCATCTGTGTGACCCTACCTGAATTTAAACCGAAGGCAGTTTCAGCCCTTCATTTAACAAGGAGAGCGAGCCTTGTTTACGTCTGTCCTGATCCACAGAGATCCAACAGGGATTTGAAATCACTTGACTAACTGTTGAGACTGCTTTGAATTTATCTTAGCCAGCAATTGAGTTCAGAGATTGAGAGGTTATTTATTTATCTTGCATGAAGGGATTTACTGTAGGTAAGGTCAGAAAGCCTCCAAACAAAACAATTCAGAATGGATTAGGGAGCTGACTAAAAAGGGAATTTGTAATAAAATCCAAGATGAAAGGTATCCTACCTATCCAAAGGTAATTTGACCACATGGATGATAAATATTTGTGGCAATCAAAAACAGAGAGATTCTTTTCACATGGTGTTTATCCTGGATTAAAAATTTAACATGTAATTTGTTCTGCTTAGTCTGGCCCATCTCTTCATTCCATCCAATCTCCATGACTTTTTATGCTTTAGTGTCAAAGAAAGGTGTTTATTTCCTGTGAAGTAATTGAAATGTGCAAAAAAAATTGCACAGTGGAGAAAAGCAGGTGCTGATGCAAATTCAAAAAGCAAAAGACAGCCATTAAAAATGTACTGAACAGGCAAAATCAGAATAGCGTGGCTGTTTCTGGGCAGCATATTTTTGCATTCTTAAATGAAAAAATATTGATCTTCAATAATTTTTAATGGCTATAGAAAAAGTAACTACAATACAGTTCCCTTTTTCATTATGATACAGTTACTCTTTTCACTGAGTTTTGTCACAGAAGGGAGGTGTTTAGCTTTTAATTGTATACTCTCTTTATATTACAGGTTAACTAAACTCCAGATATTGGAACTTAGAGAAAACCAGTTGAAAATATTGCCAAAGTAAGTACGAATGAAACCTTTAAGGTATATACATACTTGGGTTTCCATTTCACTAATCTCTTAGGCTGCTTGCAGATGTTTAAAAAAAAAAAAAAGTGCTTCACTGGAAGCAGCAGTGCATTACTTCAACTCAGTTCTGCAGCATGTGTAAAGATCAGGTGCTTCAGTGGGGCTTTTTGGCACTTTTAGCTGGAGCTGATTCAATCAGCTATTAAATAAGTGTCAAAAAAGCCCCACTAAAGTGCCTGATCTTTACAGAAGTTGGACAAGCTGTGTTGAAGCAACGCATTGTCTCTTTTGGGCATGTGTGGGGCTCAGTACAGGCACACCAAGTTTTTTAAAAAGTGCCATTTTG